AAGTGTTTTATTTGCTGACACATTCAGCAAGTGTGCTTTGAAGCAAACAGTGTGACTGGGACACACTCATGCACACACACACACACCAGCTTTCTGGGGGTGCAATTTATTCATTATAGGGCACAGTTGAACCACTTTTACTCTACAGCTGGCCATCTGTATCCTATTTTCTGATCTGTGGACTCAAACAACCGAAGACCAACTGTAGCTGAAAAAAATCTGCATGTGTCTTGAACAGGAAGACTCTCCTTGTCATCACTCCCTGGATGATATAGTGTGCCAGGGATTCACACAGCACTTACGTGGATGAGGTGGATGAGGTACAGTACCTCATCGAGAGGCAACTTAAGTATCTGGGAGGACACACATAGGTTATATGCAAATTCCATGACATTTCCATTATGGAATTTGAGCATCCCTCCATCCTGGTTTCCATGGAGGGTCTGGCACCAATCTCTTGAGGCTGCCTCGAGATGACTGTGTTGCAAGGCTCAGTGACTGTCATTAGTCCCAGAATATTTTCATACCTAAAAGGAACTCTAGGCCCACTGATTGCCAGTCTCTTTCCTACCCACCCCACCATTTCCATACAGTCACCAATTTATTCTATGGTTTTGTCTACGTGGTAGCTGTCCCTATGAATTGGCCTGTTCTGAAGATTTCATATATATGGAAACATACAGCATATGGTCTTCTGAATATGGCTTTTTTCATTAAATTTATTTTTTGCCAGGTGTCGTGGAATATGGCTTTAATCCCAGCACTCAAGAAGGAGATGCAGGCGGATCTTGAGTTTGAAGTCAGCCTGGTTTACATAACAAGTTCCAGGCCAGCCAGTGCTAGATAGTAAGACCCTGTCTCAAAGAAAATCTAATTTTTGTTTTAAATAGTTATGCTATGTAACCAAGTCCACAAACTCTGAGGTCCACCTGCCTCAGTCTTCCAAGTGTTGGGATCATAGGCGTGTGCCGCCATGCCTGACACAATGAAGGATTAATAAGCATCATTATTATACACACTATATTATTATATAGAATGGATGAGTTGTAAATGTGTTATGCTGAAGGTGCCATAGCGATACCCTTATCTGAATGGAACAAAATCCATTTCATCCCTTTTACATGATTGGACAATATTCTATTGAATGAATGAACTGCATTTTATCTTCCCAATTGTTTGTCAGTGGACATCTGGGTTGCTCTCACCTTTTACCTATAGTGAATGTGTCATTAAGAAATAGAAACAAGACCCACTGTCCCCAGAGCTGCTTGCTCTAGAAGTGGGGTACAGGAACTGTCCCCGGAAGGTAGAAATTACAGTGCCCTGGATGTGGAGTGACCTACTAGATTCCAGAGTCCCAGAGCACACTTGCTACTAGGTATCTGTGGGTATGAACCTCCAAAGCTTCTCAGTTCCTTCATACAATGACATAGTATTTGCACATAATCCAAGCACAACTTCCCATGTACATCAGCTCATCTCAAGCTTTCTTATCATGCGGCTAGAGATGGCCCAGCAGTTAAGAGCATGACTGACCTTCCCAGAGAACCACATGGGGGCTCACAATGCTCAGGGGAGCTGATACCCTCTTGTAGCCTTTGTGGACACCAGGGAAGCATGTGATACACAAATACACATGCAGGAAAAACACCTATACACATAAAAATAATTTTTAACTTACAAAAATTATTTTCTTAGTAACTATTCTATTGCTGTGAAGAGACACCATGACCAAGGCAACTCTTATAAAGGAAAACATTTAATTGGAGGCCTGCCAACAGTTTTAGAGGATCAGTCTGTGATCATCACGGTGGAAAGCAGACATACATGGTGCTGGAGCAGTAGCTGTGAGTTTTACATCCTCATCCACAGGCATCAGGTACACACACACACACACACAGACACACACACACAGACACACAGACACACACACAGACACACACACAGACACACAGACACACACAGACACACAGACACACACAGACACACACACACAGACACAGACACACACAGAGACACACAGACACACACACACAGACACACACACAGAGACACACACACAGACAGACACAGAGACACACACACACACAGACACACAGACACACATACACAGAGACACACAGAGACACACACACAGACACACACAGACAAACACACACAGACACACAGACACACACACACAGAGACACACAGAGACACACACACAGACACACAGAGACACACACACAGACACACACATACACACAAACACACACACACAGACACACACCCAGACACACACACACACACAGACACATTCAGACACACACAGAGACACACACACAGACACATACATACACACACATACACACAGACACACACATACACACAAACACACACATACACACAGACACATACACACACATACACACAAACACACACAGACACACACACAGAGACACATTCAGACACACACAGAGACACACACACAGACACACACACACAGACACATTCAGACACACACAGAGACACACACACAGAGACACACACACAGACACATTCAGACACACACAGAGACACACACAGAGTTTGAAGGGTGGGGATGTGGCTCAGTTGGCGGAATGCTAGCCTAGCATACACAAAGCCCTGGATTTGACTTTCAGCACCAATAAACCAAGGGTGGATGTGTACATCTAATCCTAGGGAAGAGGGGGCAGGAGGAGGCAGGAGGATCAAGGCCATCTCTGGCTACTCAGTGAGTTTGAAGCAGCCTAGGACATATGAGGCCTGTCTCAAACAATAATAACAATAACAACAGCAACAGAAACTGGCCATGGCCATTGGAGAGCTACCAAACTTTAGTACACCCCAGAAAATCAATACAGGGGACTGTTCTGAAATGGTGGCCTCTAATCAGGGGTAGATGTCTTGGGCTTGATCAGTCAGCTGCAGCTGGGTTCCAATGAAGAAGCCGTGGTGCAGTGAAGGGTAGCATAGCACTCATAAACGTGCTTTAGGGTGGGGTTCCTGGTGGGCCAATAAGACCAACAACAAATGGGCACATCTACGGGCTCCTTTTCCTGCGTGTACTTCTCTCTCTCTCTTTTTTTTTTTTTTTGGTTTTTCGAGACAGGGTTTCTCTGTGGCTTTGGAAGCTGTCCTGGAACTCACTTTGTAGACCAGGCTGGCCTCGAACTCACAGAGATCCGCCTGCCTCTGCCTCCCGAGTGCTGGGATTAAAGGCGTGCGCCACCAACGCCCGGCGCGTGTACTTCTCTTAAACAGCTGGCGTGCACCCTCATCTCTCCTGCAAATGTGATCTGGACGAAGTTGGGGCTTAGCATTTTTGGGTCCAATACTGGTCACTAGGTGCAGGAGCATGGAATGTAGCCAAACCACTGGATATAGCTGCTAGAGGACAGATGGCGTCAAAGGGGTGCCTGTGTCCAACACAGGCACACAGCTATTTGGAAACTTGGCCCTAGCTGTGCCTAGAGAAGGTCCCAACCACATGGACTTCAGGTGCTGGTCCAGATTCTAGGGCAGGGCCTGGAGGATGAGTCAGACACCTAGAGCCTATGATAAGATACTCTGTGTCACCTCTGTCCTTCCTTCTCTTAACAAAGCCACACAGAGTGTCAGTAGGAATGCAGCAGTGACCAGCAATGGAAGAGAGAGGGCCTTGGCCACTCTGGAGGATGGCAGGGCCTCCAGAGCCTCAGGAAGAAGAAAGGAAAGGACACAGGGAGGGGTGGATGTCCCACAGCCACATGCAACAGACTGGGGCTGACCAAAAGATCAGCTGGGGGTGGTGGCGGGGTGTGAAGGAGGATGGGTGGATGGTCATGGTGATGTTTCCAAGCCTGCTCCCTATTAGTCATGTGTCTGAGCTACTGTAGAGTACGTGGTTTCCTGCCTTCCTCGGGACTTTGATGCCTCTGACATGTTCTGCTTTTCCCCTTAGGTTCCAGCAGGAAAAACCTGGGTCCTACCTTAGGAAGTCATCTTCAGTCAAGACAAGTGGGAATTGTGCTTTCCAGGGGCCTCTGGCAATATCAGAAATGTTTTAGGTTATTTCAAGTGTGTATGTGTGTGTGTATGTGTGTGTGTGTATGTGTGTGTGTGTGTGTGATATGTGTATGTGCGTTTATGTATGCGTGTGTGTAATTGCCATCTGAGGCCAAAGGTGGCGCTAAACATTCTGCAGTGCACAGCCCAGTCCCCCCCATAAAGAGTCCCCGCAGCTCCAAATATCCACAGTCTAAGATAAACTTCTGCAGAGGTGTAGGAAAGGCAGGGCCAAGCCCCCAGGGGGGTGCTGGGGCCATATTGTCACTCACAACCTGACTAGGTCTCTGTGGGAGAATAGGATGGCAGAGGCAGAGGCAGTTAGGGTCCTTAAGTGACATCTGCTGCTGGTGGTGCCAGAATGTGGAGAAGGGAGGGAGGGAGGAACCACTAGAACTCCATGGGTTCACAGAGAAGCCAGGGGTCCCTCGCTTGCCCTGAGGGCAGGAGGTGGGACTAAAGGACAAAAAAGAAACAGGAAAGGGCAGTTTTTAAGACAACACTTTAGGCAGGGTTGAGTGATAAGGGAAGGGGCCACCTTCTGGGACAGAATTCTCGCAGGCCTGGCCTCAGCTGGAGGTTCCGTTGCTCGGAAACGGAGGATGCGGGTGTCATGGCACTGACCGGTGGACTCTGAACCCATTTGGCCAGCTTGAGGACAGGATAATCCCAGAGCTAAACATCCCAGTTCCCAAGGGGTGGGGTCTTGGTGGGGGGCAGAGCTGAGGGTGGGCTCAGGAGGAGGATTTGCGGACTGGAGAGGCGTGATCAGTCACGGGACGCATGCCAAACCAGGGCGCCAAGAAAGTCCTCCGGAGGAGAAGGAACCGCTTGCGGGGCGGGACAAAGCTACTTAAAATTAGGGCAGAGCCACTGGGTGGTAGGTGGGGCTTCCGGGAATGGGGCGTGATCAGGGCGTGGCCGACCAAGCGTACTTAAACCACCTGGGCGCGCGTATTGGCTCCGCCATGGCTCTGAGGCGCGTCTTCCTGCTGCGCTCGGTGGCACCACGTGTGGCCGGTCTCTCTACAGAGCCGCAGGCCCGCGAGCAGCCCGCCGCGAGCTCAGGGGCTGTGCGGGCATGGCGAGCGGCCGAGGCTGTACGGCGGCCTGTGCCAGTCGTGGACTTCGGCAACACGCAGGAGGCGTACCGCAGTCGGCGGAGCTCGGAACTGGTGCGCAACCTGCTAGTGCTGCGCCTGTGTGCGTCGCGGGTGCTGCTGGCGCACCACGAACAGGTGCGCGGGTGGGTGGCCCAAACTGAAGAGATTGGATAAAATCACAGTGGTCCAGATAGCCCCAGAGCCTTGGTCTGCCTGTTGTCGGTCTACACTGGAACGCAGTGTAGAAGCTGCAGGTTCTCAGAAACTAGGAAACATGGAGCTTTAAACTGTAACATGGTATCTTTGAAAATGTGAGGGCCTTTGGGGGAAGCAGGATTCCACTTCAGCCAGTCTTGAAGGGTTAGTGATTAGTTAGTTATCTCAAGGTGACCTGTGATGTTTGTAAAGATGCAGATCTGGACGATATCTCAAAGTGGGTAATACTTCTCCTGTGAGACTGGAGGAGCTGCAGCTACACTTAGAACTTAGCCGCTGGGCCACAGCGGGTAGCAGGTGAGTCACATCCCACAACAATTGAGATGGAACAATTGTGCTGGTGGGATCCTTTGGAAGAACTTCTCTGTAAGCAGTAAAAATAAGGGAGTAAAAGAAAGCTCTGGTGTGCGTGCGGGAGGCCAGGTACGTGTGTGGTATAGTAATGGTGGCCAGGGTCATAATGCACTGAAATAATGCCCAGTAGGGAAGAAAGGTACACAGGAAAAGGAGCCCCCCCCCCCGGGGGGGCGGCGGGGTAGAAGCAAGCGGCGAGGACGTTGTGAAGTAGCAGCATCTAACAGGTTGCTGGAAGGGATCTGCCAGAGATGCCAGCCAGGAGGGAAGATGTGCAGCAAACCCACCCCACCCCCACTCCACCTGTCCAACCTGTGCCCTGGGAGCTTCTCTGAGATCTGTGTGGCTGTCATTGGTAGTGGCCTCAGTGCCTCGTGCTGAAGGAAATGGTGTTCAAAGCCAGGCCCTGAGCAGATCTACTTACCGGATCCTAGACTGATGGACCAGACTGAGAACAGCTGACCCAGGCCTTGAGGCTGTAAGGCTCGAGCTGGGGCAGTGGGCAACCGCGCTTTGTTCTGAGGAGTTGTGCGTTAAGGAGCTGAGTTGGGAACTGAGGAGCTGTGAGCTAAGGAGCTGAGTTGGGAACTGCTGCCTAGGATTGGAACCCTTTTGGGGACCATGAAGCAGTCTATTTGACATCAAGACAGGGTTTCTCTGTGTAGCCTTGGCTGTCCTGGAACTCAATCTGTAGACCAGGCTGGCCTTGAACTCAGAGATAACCCTGCCTTTGTCTCCCAAATGCAGACACTAAAGGTGTGTCCTACCACACCTGTTAGGCTATCCCTTTTTGATTGTGAGCCCAAACTGAAGAGACTGAATGCAAATTACAGTGGTTCTCTGGGGCCAGAGGAGAGAACTGGCTTTACTGTCCTTGGTTTCCTGGACATGGATTGAGACGTTTGTGTGTGCATGAGCACACATGCATATATGGAAGCCCAAGGGCACACTTGGGCTGTGCTGGGATTAAAGGCGAGCACCACCAACACCCGTCTTTTTTTTTTTTTTTTTTTTTTTTTTGCTTGGTTTTCTGGAAACACAGTTTCTCTGTGTGATCTTGGCTGCCCTGGAACTTGCCCTGTAGACCAGGCTGGCCTCTGCCTCCCGAGTGCTGGGAATAAAGGCGTGTATTACCAGGCCAGGCTTCCCTGCCCGGCTCTTAAAGAGTTGCTTTTGAGACAGCTTGTCACTATGCGGCCCTTGGCTTCTTGAAACTCACAACATAGACCCGAAAGAGATCTACCTCTCTCTGCCTCCTGAATGTGAGGTTAAAGGAGTTTGCCATCATGTCCGCCTGACCCTGTAAGACAAGTTTTTGTTTTAAACTAGCTTGTAGGTTAGGCTTGCTGACCAGTGAGCTCCAGAAGCTTGGCTGTCTCTGCCTCCCTAGGACTGGGATTACAAGCATACACCACCATGTGTGGTGTCCGGGGATCAAACTCAAAGTACTTATAACTGAACCATCTTGGGAGATAAGGTCTTGTTCTGTAGCTCAGCTGGCCTTGAACTCCTGTCCCTCTGTAACTCAGCCTCTCAAGGCTGAATTACAAAAGTGTGTCACCATGCCTGGCTTGGTCTGAATCTTAAACAGTGAGAATGACTCTATTCCTGGTACAAGTTTTCAAAGACGTCACTCACCTGGATAGGAGGTAGTGCTGCCCTGAGCTCAGGTGTTGACACCCCAGGGCATCAGTGACATCAAGACAGCTGTGAGATGGTGGCTTAGCTTTGGAGTCCTCTTTAAAGTTGCCAGCGCTGTCTGTATGTGTGTCCACCATTCTCAGTGACCGGGAATGAGAGCTTCTATCAGAGATCATCACTCTTAACAAAGGAACAGAGTGCAGAAATCCCAGATGCAGCATGGAGGCTGCAGATAGATGTTGTCTAGCGGCGGCATCTTCATGGAGCCCATCACAGAGTGACAGGGCCATGATGGGGAAGTTGCGAATGTTTAGACTAAAGCGGGCTCCCCACACAGGGAAGGGTTCATTGTCCATGAGACTTGAGGCACCCCAGGCTTTTCCTTTCTCGGAGCTGAACTGGGTGGGCAGGACTGGAGACAGGCTTCTCCTGTGTGGACGTGGGGTTGCCTCTGAGCGGGTACCTAGGGGTGTGCTTGTCACCACTTTGCTGCCATAGCTTGTCTCCTTGCGCCCCATTTCACCTTGCCTCGCTGGGCACCCTCTTTCCTGAATCTAGGTTAGCAAATGTCCGCCCTCACTGTCCACAGCACCGGCTGTCAGTCTGCCTTACTTCTGTGAGGAGTGGCCTTGCTGCTGCTTCCCCTTGGGCATCTCTCATGACGTCTGCTTCCTTCTCCTTTTCCCTGGGATGCTTGCAACCCTGTGAGATGGGGTGAGGTGTGATGAGAAAAGTGTCTGGTTACATGCAGCCATCTTCTGTGGGGGGCACAACTGTCAGCGTAGCCGGTCATCTCTGGATGAGTCTGTGGAGTGGAGTCCATCCCATGGTGTCCTGTAGACAGACAGACCTCTCTCTAGCCATTTGAGTTTTGGGTGTAGCCACTGCTCAGCAGCTGTTCTGGTGGTTAGAATGAAAAAAAAAAAACCAAATACGTGTGGAGGTCATTCTAGAGGGTTACTTCTGTGCTGCCCCCAAGACCACTAAATGTCACAGAAATGTCTACTGCTGTCCCTGGGACACTGCCTGGATCCCCTGCCCCCATTAAGGGGTGGCCAGGCAACTTTCTGTGCCCTGAGGATCCGGGCTCAGTCCTAAGAGGAACAATGTGCTCAGAGCTTCATAGAACCAGCAGCTTGAGAGGGCGCCTTGGTTCTGCCATGCTGCCCTGGATCCGGACTGGCTCAAAGTGACTGTGCTACGGGAAGCAGCCTGCTCCGAGTGGTCTCTATAAAACATGCTGTGCACCGCGTGGCACTGACGTGAAACAGGAAGGAGTAAGCAGGGGTCTTGCAAATTTGGGGAGACAGACAGATGGCCAGACAGCTGCTTTCCTTTGCCTTTCAGTTACTCCGTGTTGCCAGGAAGCTTCTGGGGCAGAGGATGTTCGACAGACTAATGAAGATGACCTTCTATGGTCATTTTGTGGCTGGCGAGGACCAGGAGTCTATCAGGCCTCTGATCCGGCACAACAAAGCCTTCGGTGTTGGCTCCATCCTGGACTATGGAGTGGAGGAAGATCTGAGCCCCGAGGAGGCGGAGCGCAAGGAGATGGAGTAAGGCCTGCTTTTCCGGTGTTGCAAGGCACAGACCAAACTACACCAGGTTGCTAGGTTTCAGCCTCAGCTAGGTGGTGGACAAGACTGGGAGAGCCTTTGGCCTGACTGCCGGCAGCCTTCCTAAGTTGTGCCTAGAGTTCTGGTTTCCCCGCAGACAAGAGCGCTGTGCTCTGTGGGCCTATACTAGAGGGGGGCTGAGTGGTACATCTGCAAACTATGACCCTCGACCATGTCCAGCTCATCACATAGTCCTGAGGCTGCAGTTTTTACGTTTTAAGTGGTTGAACTATGGTTTGTGATACAAAAACTATATAAAATTCAAACTGCCTTTGCGTTTGCAAGGGCAGAGTGGTGTAAGTGTGTGGCTGCTGAGGCTGAGACAGAAACTTTAGGGGTTGCCCCCGCTTCCTGCCCTGCTACAGTCTCTCTTTCCAAGGATTCCTGACTGGCTGACTGGACCTGCAGGTTCCAACTAGTCCTTAGATAGTTTCCTGATCTGCAGATGACTGTGCCTGCAGGGTGTAGAACTTTGCAGACTGGGCCTAGCCAGTCAGAATTGTAGCAGGCAGCAGTGTAGTGTGACAGGCAGCCTGGAGTCTCCTGCTGGCACCAGGAATTTCCCCCAGGCCACGAGGAGAAAGCACAGCTCACAGAACTGCCCTCTTCTCTTGGTAGCAGGGCAGAGTTATTGTTTCCCTTAGGGTGGCAGCTAACTCACTGCAAGCCTGGGCAAAACTAGCTTTCTCTTCGCAAGTGCTGCTGCCTGTGACCCTCCCTGACAGGCCCTTGCTTGGTTTTGGTTTCCTGGTCGATGGCTGTGACCATAGGCCAGGCCCTGTCAGGCCTTTGACTTTACCCTGCTCCTCCTCCCAGGTGGCTAACAGGAGGTGTTGAGGAAAGGCAGTCATGTGAGGCCGTTGGCCCAGAGAACAGAATGTCCGAGTCTGGTCTCAGTCTGGGAGCCCAGCCCCTGCCTTGTGATTGGCCATTCTGAAGGCGGGGTGACCCAGCCCCAGCATCCCCTATGAACCTCACTGATGCCTGGGGATTTGGCTGTGGGCCTTTACCAAGGCTGCTGTTGAATAACCAAATGGATTCCACAGCCTCAGCCTAGATAGGGTGAGCACTGAGTGCTCTTACCCAAGACAGGCTTGCTATGAGATTGGGTGACAGGCCTGCCTGCCCTGCCTATCTGCAGGATCTACTCTTGTCTGTGCCTGTCCGTTGGCTGCTCAGCTCGTCATGGCTGCTTGTGCCACAGGAGCTCTGCTTGGGCTCCAGGACATCAGAAATAGAACTTTCCTTACCTAACAGTGTTTACCCTCCAGTGCCAACAGCAAGTAGTGAGAATGCGGGCCCAGCCCTGCTGCTGGTGTCTGTGCCTCAAAGGATGGACTGCCTGCCTTTGATGATAAGAGGGTGAAATATCACTCTGACAGTGTTCCGAGTCTGTGACGGGGAGGCTGGCAATCCTCACATGCCACCTCCTCGCAGGAAAAAGAACTGACAGAGCACCTGATGGAGTGAGCTGCCCCACAGGCCCAGAGACTGAAGCCTGCCTCTAGTTAACAGAAGAAGGCACAGAAAGCATGGAGGCCAAACCATCTAAACTTTGGGCTGTGGGGCTCTACAACCAACCTTCTTTCTCATCGGGATCATTGAGGAGCCAGGTTTCCTTCCTTGACAGGGTTTCTGCTCAGGGAATCAGCACACTGATAGCCCTCCGGGGACTTTTGTCTGTTTGTACCTGAGGCTGCTCTTATGGAACCCATATCCTCTGGGGAAATATCCTCCTGGGACCTTGGCTGTTTCTGAGGGCAGATGATGCATGGGTTCTGTCTGCCTCCTCATTACAGACTCAGAACATTGTTACCAAATGACTTTTCACCCTCTTTTCTAGTTACATATTGTCCGCATGAGGTAGGTGGAACAGTAGCAGCCTGCCTGGCTCCTTGTTCGCTGGGCTGTGGCCTTGTGAGCTGAGGTGTTTGTAGGGAGCCCCAGCCTCCCAAGGATATGACCTGCCCCTCCCCCCCATAGTTTCTGACCCAAAATCTCCAGATAAGGGTGGCCCAGGTTTGCTCTAAGAGTAGTGAGGTTCCTAGATGGGTAAGGCTCTTTGACAGTAAGACCTGGAAGGTGCTGTCTCCTGTCTCTGCTCCTTGCCATGAAGAATGCTAGGAAGAAGCAGTGCTCAGGACCCTGCCCTGTGGAGCACTTGATGTCTCCAAGTATGATGGGGACCTGGGAGGTTTTCAATGAGGTGACATTAAGGTCTCATTTTCATCTTCCATGGAAATTTCTGGTTTCTATTTGGAAAATAAGCCTAAGAGTCTTAGCAGGGGCTGGGGCATAGAGTGGGAGTAGCCAGGGTGTGCGGGACTCTGTCCTGGAGACCACAGATGTTAGGGGTGCAGACCAGAGCAAGGGGGCACTGTTGCTGGACTGGAGGAGCCCTTTGTACAGGGTGGCTTCTGCCCCTCTCCCTCTCCCTGCCTGACCTCATCAGTAAGAAAGGTTCAACCCACAGGAAGCCTGGGCATCCTCTCCCTGGCCCAGGCAGTCATGCCTGACCCGAGGAAGTGCCAGGTTAACTCAAGTTCATCTGTTTTCTTGAGCCAGCCTTCTGTCAGGTTCATGGTCTGATCCAAGGCTTAGCTGCATCCTGGTGACCCAACCTTTGCCTCCAACTCTGTCCTGCAGGTCGTGCACCTCCGAAGCAGAGAAAAACAGCAGTGGTGAGTTTAGGAATGGGTACTCTCCTCACATCAGCAGAGTCTGGTGGCCATGGAGACATCTGAGCTTTGGGCCTGGGCCAGCCTTTGGGCAGGGGACAAGACCAGAGACTGCCTCCTATGGTAGAGTTATGGCTCTGGCTCTGTGTACCTGACCTACCTGAGAGTTCCTGATGAGACCCAGGCTCCTTGTATTTTTAACAGCTCTTACAGGAAGACTCTGTCTCCTTGGCCTTCAGTAGGCTGCAGTTCCAGCCTTTGTGATAACGGCTCTACTTTCCTGGCCTGATTTGCTGCTTCGTGAGGGTTAGCCAGGGGGACCCAAGTGGAAAGGGCAGGCAGGACTATCAGGAGGGCGACTTCTGGGTGCAGCCAGGCCTATTCGGAGCCCATCTAGAGCGTTGTAGCCCTGGGATGTTGACCTATGCTGGGAGGGTTCTGAACTAGGCTGGCATCTCTAATAAGGTCATATATTTACCTTCCCAGACACAAATAAGAGGGAGAAGCAGTATCAGGTCCACCCTGCCTTTGGAGACCGCAGAGATGGCGTCATCAGTGCCCGCACCTACTTCTATGCTAGTGAAGCCAAGTGTGACAACTACATGGAGAATTTACTGAAGTGCATCGAGGCCTCAGGTGGGGTCCCCGGTGTTGCTAGCTGCTAGGCGAGCCTTGGGCTTGTGGAGGAGGCTAGGGCTGGAGTGAAGGGCTGTGCTCAGACCTTCAGCTCCTTCCAAACGGTCCTGACAGCCCCTGGGGGCACCTCCTGACAAGCCCGTGCTCCCTTGCATGTCCCTGGACCTGTGTCTGCATGTGGTGTCCTCATACTGAGTTCGGGAATCCCCACCCCTCAGGTTGAGGGTCAGTTCTGGGAGCTGAGGACACATCTTCTGTGACTGGCAACTCCTCCCTGTTGTAAGAGAATTGTGGATGGAGTGTAATACCAGTAAGCAGTTGCCTCACGGACCAGGGTGGCCTGTGTAATCATTGTACTCCAGCATTTTGGTGCCTTGTCTGTTCTCCCTGGGGTTGTGTGCCCCACCCAGCCCCTACTCCACTTGGCATTTCTGGGCTCTGTGGCCCATACGTGGATGGCCTATAGAGCTGGCAGCATTAGGAAAAAACTGAGCCACAGAGGCCGCCAGCAATGTGCAGACCTCTGTGGCTTCTTTGTCTGCTGTCTTCTTGCAGGACAAAGGTTGTTCAGCAGCCCTCCCTACCTCTGTAGCAGGGCCTTTGGAGCAGCCATGTGCAAGGGCATTTAGGGGACTGGGTATCACTATGGGTAGGAACTGGCTACAGGGCTGGTTTTAACTATCAGGGAGCCACAAGGTGCACCTGGTCCCTCTGACCCAGACGTTCATCATCTTGGAGACACTCATGGCTCTTCCTTTCGCTTCGGACAGGTGGAGCCAGTGATGGTGGTTTCTCAGCCATTAAGCTCACTGCACTGGGAAGACCACAGTTTCTGGTAAGTGGTGGCACCTTTGACAGCAGAGGCTTTGAAACCCCGGGGCTACTGTGTGCACTGAGAGGCTTCAGACGTGCTCAGATTGGTAGCTGAGCTCTGGGGCTGCAGAGGTGGCCCCAGAGCTGGATGGAGGAGCTGGGCGCATGCTGCAGTGGGGCTCACACCTGCACTGGCAGCTGCAGTTCTCAGATGTGCTGACCAGGTGGAGACGGTTCTTTCATCAAATGGCCGCAGAGCAGGGACAGGCTGGGCGTGCTGCTGTAGACACGAAGCTGGAGGTGGTGGTGCTCCAGGTAAGCAGCCTTCCCCTTCCTTCCCCGGGCACTGTGCAGTGTGGTCTAAGGTGGGGTCTTGCAGCTGTTTGGAGGTGTAGCTGGGGCCCCAGAGAGGAGGGGAAGCAGCGCTGTGGTAGAACTCTGGGCGGCTCCACTGTCTACAGGGTATGGTTGGGGGGTAGGGAGTTGGCTCAGAGCAGATGTGGGAAACGGCAGATGTGGAAACAGGTATCACAGCCAGCTGGGAATGGAACTGCGGGCCTGAGACGAGTGCTGCTGTCACAGGTGATGTGACAGTCAGACAGACTCGTGGTGGGGATGAGGCTTAACGGATGGCGAGAGATGGCAGTATTGACTCCGCCTTCTCAATTCCTAAGGAAAGCATTGCAAAGATGGGCATCGCATCCAGGGCTGAGATCGAGGGGTGGTTCACACCGGAGACGCTGGGAGTGTCTGGGTAAGAGCTGCCCCGGCACAGTCATGGTCTCAGCAGAGCCCCGTGGTTCTACTCCTGGTCACCTCCTGGGAAGGGGTGAGCCGTGGGAATGACAGTGTCAAGGGAACTGCTTCCTGAGATTACTGAACAGGAGTTGATGGTGAGCAGGGGAGAGGCAGCGTTTTCTATGTCTTCTCATAGAAAACATCCTGGGTCTCAGAGCGTCTTCCTAAGAGCCACACTGGCAGGTGAAGTCAGCACCCAATGCCCTATCCTTAGGGACAGAGGTTAGGATTAATGTCACTAGGGGCCCTCAGTCAAGTCAGAGTGCTGGCTTGTGGTAGAGCTGCTGGCTCGGGGGGGCCCTTGCGTATTAGCTTCTCCACGCTCTTGAAGTGGTGTCTACACTCTGCCTAGCCTTCAGTTTTTGGCTCTTCCTTAAGCCTAACCTGGCCATGGAATTCTGTATACTTTGTGTTTTTATTGCTACTGATGCATTGCAAAAATGGTCATGCTTTGGTTTTCTTTTTTTTTTTTTAATTGGGAGCAGTATTCAGTCTTTTAAAGTCAAACACTGGGCTGGGTTTTGTGAAGGCTAAGTTTGGAAGTAGTCTTCAGGAATGGGCTGGTGCGTGTCAGACCCGCAAACAAACCCAGTACCTGGGGTGAAGCCAGGTGACTGGACCCAGAATTCCTGGCTGCCCACTTTGCTGATGTTCTCACCCCTCAGCACTGTGGACTTGCTGGACTGGAACAGCCTCATTGACAGCAGGACCCAGCTCTCCAGGCACCTGGTGGTCCCCAATGTGCAGGTAACCCCTCCCCCATTCCATGTGTCTGCCTACCCATTGTGACTGACTTTCTGACCCCACCACAAAGACAAACCCAGGGTCCACAGTGCTCAGTTGGACAGGGGCCCACAAGACGATGGGTGTCTTGAGAGAAGGGCTCCCCCGCATACCTAGTGTGCGGGTCACCACAAGCCTTTTGGGCTGAACAGGGTCCAACTGGTTAGCTCTCATCTGATCACATGTACTCAGAGGGTGGCAAGGCCAGGTGGTCACAGAGGTGCCCTGCTAAGTAAGGAAGGTGATGCTATCATCTGGGCTTTCTTCCAAACATGGTGGCTAGGTTCCCAGAGTGAGTTTACCCTGAGATGAAGGCCAGGCAGAAGCTGCATTGACTTTTGCAGCCTGGCCTTAGAAGTCACGCCAAGTTCAGTTTGGCAAAGTGAGTTGCTAGTGTGGCCTGTATTCAGGGGGAAGAGGTGTGTGGGACCCTGCCTGCTCTGGGTTTTGAAGAAGGAGCAGCAACTGAGGAACACGCCCTGCAGGTGTTTCTTCTGTGGTGTTCCCAGCCCGCCCCAAACTTTGAGCCACTGCCCTGGAACCTTGGGGTACAGTGTGTTCATGAAGTCTCTGCTGCAAGGTCACTGACAGACTGTGGCACATGGTGTTTGTGCTCAGTGGAGGCAGGCTGCTGGGATCCGTGAAAGGGTGGCTCATTAGCATTGCGGGAGCATCTTGGACCATGGCTGCGAGAGGAGGGGCAGACCTCTGTGCTGTATGGAGTTTCTGGGTGCATCCTGCCAGTTCTCATCACCAGTCCACCGCTGACCCGTTTGGCTCCTTGAAAGTCACATTTTGGTCCCTGTGCTGCAAGTTGGATAGTGCCCCATATCCATGGCTTGAGCCTTTTCTATCCAAACTGGAGCCTTCTGGTTGACTGGGGTCTAGATTCCCTTCGTTTGCCTTTCTTCGCATGGCTCCCTACTGATCTCGGAATTGAAGGCACAGAAATAAATTCCTTGGGGAACAGGCCTGGGCCTGGTGCTGCTTACATGGGCACAGCTTTCCTCACTGGTAGGACAGTGAGCTAGCTGGAAGTCAGTTTGAGGCGTTTTGTCATTGTATCTAACTGGTTTAAGACAAGGTACTGAGAAGGGACCTCTCTGGTTTATTAGGGGACAGTAGAGTAGGCAGCAGAGAGCATTGCTGAAAGGTGACTCTGGCCTCAAGATGGAGCATTGCGGCCCCCAGTGGCCTGACTTCTGCTGTGCTCTCAGACAGGCCAGCTGGAGCCCCTGTTGTCACGGTTCACTGAGGAGGAGGAGCAGCAGATGAAGAGGATGCTGCAGAGGATGGACGTGCTGGCTAAGGTGTGCGTGTGTGTGCGTGCGTGTGCACGCGTGTGCGTGGGAGTGTGGGTGAGCGTGTGGGGGTGTATGTGTGTGTGTATGGATGTGCTGGCTAAGGTGTGTGTGTGTGCGCGTGTGTGCGCATGTGGGAGTGTGGGGGTGTATGTGTGTGTGTGTATGGATGTGCTGGCCAAGGGTGTGTGTACACGGACATGCTGTGTGTGTTTTGGGGTACAGAGCATTAGGGGCCCCAGTACCTGAGCAGAGGGAGGGCATCATCAACCTTGAGCCTCAGATCCTTCCTCCCTGTGCACCCCTCAGAAAGGCAGAGAGGCAGGCGTGCGGCTGATGATAGATGCTGAGCAGAGCTACTTCCAGCCGGCTATCAGCCGCCTGACCCTGGAGATGCAGCGCAGGTTCAATGTGGACAAGCCACTCATCTTCAACACATTCCAGTGCTACCTCAAGGTACAGCCATTCACCTCCTGCCTGCCTCTCCCTGCCTGTCTCCAGTGCTTGACTGCAGAGCCTCTCAGGCAGTGTGACCCACCCCCCTACAGGAATATGCCTTTCTATGGGGCCATGTAACATCTGTTTGGCCCTGCTTTGCACAGAGTCCAGAGCAGCACCGGTGAAGGAATGAACAGGCTACTAACTCTAGAGTGAGTTCAGCCGTGTAGGAGACAGACCCTGCCCAGTGCTGCCCCTGGGCTTACAGGAGAGGCTGGGTCAGTGCCAGTTGCAGAGGAGGAAACAAGACTACCTGGGCCCTGTCCAGGCAAGATGACTCAATGAAAACACTTGCTCTGCCAGTCTGCCAACCTGAGTTTGATCTCCAGATCCCATGGAGAGAGCCAATTTCTTCTATAAGTTTCCTGATTTCCACATGTGCATGATGACTTCCTGCAAACCACCTTCCCATAGTTAATAACACAAAATACAAGTGCACAGGGACAGAAGGCAAGTGGCTCTTTCAGTGTCCCAGGCTCCTCTGAGGACTTTTGCTGACTCTGCCCATTTTTAGCACAGGACCCTCTTAAGAAATCTGGGGGGAAAAATCACTAGACTCCCCTGGAAGATTTGACAGGGCTGAGGAAGTACACCTGGGAGTCCAGAAAAACCCCAAGCTGAGCCCCTCAGCCTGAGGTGGCTACGTTGCTGGGCACCAAGAGGACATGGTGTGTATGGGGCAGTCCCAGACAGGTGGCAAATTGTTCCTAACTGGCCAAGGTGACTCCGAAATACACAGTAACTCCAGGTATCCGGGGTGGCCACCCACTGTCACCTTTCCTTGGGGGTGGAGGTTGGAGGCCCAGCTTTATCCGCATCTGTCTCCCAGATCCTCTGAGGGGCTGGCATGGGCACTCTGAGCTGAGATACACGTGAAGCAGATAGTCCCTGTGCTGCCTGCCACCTTGGCTGTGCTGCCACCACTGGAGCTCCCTGTGACGTCTGAGCTTGGCTTGCAGGATGCCTATGATAATGTGACCATGGATATGGAACTGGCTCGCCGTGAGGGATGGTGTTTTGGGGCCAAGCTGGTGCGTGGCGCATACATGGCCCAAGAGCGTGCCAGGGCTGCGGAAATCGGCTATGAGGACCCCATCAACCCTACGTACGAGGCCACCAATGTTATGTACCACAGGTGAGAGGGCCTTCTGTGCCTTCTTGGAACAATGCATGAGAACCTTGACCATGAGTGTAATGGCCCCTCTCAGGCAGAGCCAGTTTCCTGAGGGCAAAGATGCTATTTCTGCTGCTGTTTTATCTTTTTTCCAAAAACGCCAAATTTTTCCTCTTTTGAATATGGATAGGTACTGGCGTCTGTCCCCAGTTGGCTTCTGCTGACACTTAAAACAACTGGTGTAGCTCACATGGTAGAGTGCTTTGCCTAACATGCCTGAAGCCCTGGGTTTGAACCCCACTACCACATAAATCAGGCATGATTATGGGCACCTTTAGTCCCAGCACCTGGGAGGAGGCAGGAAGATCAGTAGTTAAAAGGCATCCTTGACTTCAAAGTGAGGTTGAGATCAGCCTGGGATACATGGGATGAGAGAGGGGAGTAGGCTAAGGGGAGAGAGAGATCCATCCCAGGTGCCTGGCTCGCTGGCTCAACCGGTCTGTTTCAGCTCCCGTGGCGGGTGGCAGAGCTATTGTCTGCTGTTTATCACTGGGGTCTCTTTGTGCAGTTGTTCTGTACATTGGGGAGGACGATCTATGCTAACTGTGCATTCAGTTTGGATGAGTTTACTAAGCACATAGTAAGCAAAAGTAAAAGAGTAAATGGAGAAAAGCAGAGAGACAGTAAACATTACCAAATCATGGGCTCAATGTCAAGCAGAGACAGCTGGAGTAGCCCAACCAATAGCAAACAAAAGGAACAGGAAAGTGTGGCGTGCACACAGCCAGCTGGGATGTCTAGGGAAGACCTACCCCCCAGTCGGTCCGTCAATCGGTCTGTCAGTCCGTCATGCTGGGGCTCCTGATGGGAGTCCTGGATACGGCTGTTTTCTCTGCAGAACCAGCTTTTTGCCTTTCCCATCGTAAACATTTTGTTATAGGATGTTAACTTTGATTTTCAACTTCTAGCTGTTAAGGACATCCTGTTTTTAACACCCTTAGCTACCGCTTTTCCCTCTCATGGTGAGAGAACCGATATAACGGGGTGGACAGAGGACTTCAGACAGAAATGTGCTTTGATCTGGAGTGTGTGGCAACCCCACTGCAGAGCTGGTGTCTCCATGAACTCAAACAACAGCTTACCTACATAACTGACATTACAGAGCGTGCAGTCAACTGTGGGCCCTCTTCCCGAGGCTGTGTGTGCTCATTGCAAACCTGACGCCCGATCATGTTGTCCCATGTTGAGTCTGCTGCACATCCAGGCAGTGCCACCTGCCCGTGTATACTGTCCGCTCTGCCCCTTGCCTCTTACTTAATTACTCTGTCTCCTACGTCAGCAGTTTCCAGGACAGGTGTCCACCCAAGGGTGTGTTCAGGCTCCATGACCTTTTCTAGTTATAGTAACGGACTCAGTGAACATCCTGCCTTGCTCTGCTGTTCACACGTGCAGTCACAGGGCACGGCTGAACATGTTCCTAGAAACTGACCTATTGGATCAGACAGCATGTGTGCTGTCCAGGCTGACAGTGCCCTCGGTGACAATAACGCTGAAATTCTCTGGTGCTCAGGGATCCTCACCCTACCTGAGCCTCCACTTCTATTTCTTGAAGAGCCAGGACTGTGCTATAGGGCCTCGTCCAGAAGCAAAGCCACAGTTTCAGGCAGGCCCTGCCAGCCCTCGTAGGGTGATGTTGGTCCTTCCTTTCACAGAGCACTACTGCTGGGGAGATGTGGACAAGTGTCCGTTCACCCAGACAGGACTCTAATGGCAGACCCGTACCTTTCAAATCTAGTTTGGTCAACAAATGGATTCATATTGCCATTGCATAACGGTTAGGATTTCAGTGAAGAGCCCACCCCAGCAGAGGCCCAGCTCCCTCAACAACTCGTGGGCAGCCCCATGGAGTCTTCCCTCAGCACTTGTCTCACCGTGGGAGGGGCTTGTGAATCTGTAACTGCCTGGGCTTCCTGCACTGGTGCAGTGGGCTCCTGTGGTAAATGTCCTTGTCTTCCTGACTCTTATGAGCCTCCCTCTCTGATGCTCTGGCTGCAGCTGCAACCAGGATCGCCTCAGCAGAAGCCTGATTGCTGGGTGGTTCTGGGTCCTGCAAGCTGCTTCCCTCTGCAGAACCAAGAGGGGTTAAGGTGGTGGTTGGCCTGGAGGCAAGCTTATGTAGGACTGTCCCCGTCTCAGGTGCCTTAACTATGTTCTGGAAGAGCTGCAGCACAGCCCCAAGGCAGAGGTGATGGTGGCTTCCCACAATGAGGACACAGTACGATTCACACTCTGCAGGTAGGATCTGCCAGCCTGACGTGGAGGCTTCTCAGGGCTTGTGGGGGGCAGGTGGTGCAGGGCTCTGAGAACGCACGGGACCCATTAGGAACTGCTAAGTGTTTGGTGGCAGTGGTAACGTGAAGAGAGCAGCCACGGCCTAGTTACCCAAAGTCCCTAGGCTTGTCTTACCCTCTAAGAGTTCATAGCTACATTAGTTTTTAAAATACCGATTATTTACTTCAAAAATAAATGTTAGGTGACAAAAAATGGCTAAGAGACAGATCTAGAGTTAGGTCCCTGGGAAGCTTTACAAGTGTGACCCCCCCCCCAAAAAAAATGAAGCTGGGCCGTGGTGGTGCATACCTTTAATCCCAGCACTTGGGAGGCAGAAGCAGGCGGATCTCTGTGAGTTCGAGGCCAGCCTGGTCTACAGAGCGAGTTCCAGGTCAGGCTCCAAAGCAATATAGAGAAACCCTGTCTTGAACAAACAAGAAAATCAAAACAAGTGTGGCCTCATGTTTATCAAGCATTTTAAACTGCATTGGAATTTCATATGCTCATTTTTCTCTTTACCCCAAGGAGTGCAACTTTGGTAGAGTTCTAACAAGTAAAGTTTTAGAAAGTTAAGAAATGTCATAATTATGTATCTCATACTGTAACCCATACCAGGGCCCCAGTGATTCTCATTCCCCACCTCCATGTTCCTGGATTTGGATACAAAAAATTTGGTAGACCCTGAACAGTGGTCTGCTGAGTCAGCTCCCAGGAAGCATGCTTGGGTTCCATGGCATGGTGGGCTAGCCCTGCACACAGGCTGGGATACCCTAGGAAACTTCCCGGAGGAGCAGTGAAGCTGAAAGGCGGGGCTGGGCAGAACGTCACGGGAGCCTGCAGACACTGCTTGGCTGCCAGCTAAACATGTCAGTGGCCTTGTAACAGTCTTTGTTCAGGATGGTGCCTCTCACAGCTTGAAATGGCACGATTAACTATGACTGCAAGGAGAGAGCAGTGAGGGAGAAGTCAGCAGGCCTCTGCACATACTCCACGGCCACCTAAGATGTGGACACTGGCGTCTAGTCTTGGAGAGAAAGACCTGGGAAAGCAGTGTCCTGCAGAGCTCACCACGCTCCTGCCAGCCTGGGGCAGAGACAGGGGACTGAGATGATGTTAAACCGTCCAATCGAGCGGAAGGAGGCTGGGGAAGGGACTTCCAAGTGCTTGCCATGTAAGCATGAAGATTGTAGTTTGATTCACAGAACCGTCCAATCGAGCGGAAGGAGGCTGGGGAAGGGACTTCCAAGTGCTTGCCATGTAAGCATGAAGATTGTAGTTTGATTCACAGAACCCATGTAAAAAAGCTGGGTGTGGGGGTAAGAGCTTATAACCCCAGCACTGGGGAGGCAGACACGGGAGGATTCCTGGGGCTTGCTGGCCAGCCAGCTTAGCCAAATCATTGAGCCCTGGGATGATGAAACTGTCTCAAAAATCAGTGGATGGCTCCTGAAGAACGATACCCAAGTGGCCCTCTGGTCACATGCATGAACATACATGACCACTAAGCACACGCACATGAAATGCAATGTGATCCAGTCATAGCTATAGATTTCCTAGTAGCCAAGTTAAAAATGAAGTTATTTCGATTTTCCTTTTTGAGTCAACATGTTGACACTTTCCATTCAGACCAAATGACAGCTGTGCAGCCAGCAAGGGAGAATGAAGCCGGGCTGGGTTATCAGTCCCTAGAGCAAGGCTCACAGTGCCACAGAGAGTACTGGACATGGAGAAGGGGAGTCAGAGGCAGTGGGATGGGAAAGCAGGTTCGATGCCCGGGCCTTTCCTGTGGACAGGGAGTTGTACTAGGGAGACTTAGAAGCTAGAGCAGAGCTCACATCCCTGCCCCTCCCTACAGGAGACTGGCTACAATGTAGGAGCAGGGAGAGGCTCAGAGATGCATCAGGGTGCCTGTGTCCTGGGGTGGGTCCTCACCAGCCTGGTCCCCTTCACAGGATGGAGGAGTTAGGCCTGCATCCTGATGACGGCCAGGTGAGCTTCGGACAGCTGCTGGGGATGTGTGATCAAATTAGCTTCCCACTAGGTGAGCTGGTTGTCCTGGGTGCATGCAGGGGGTGGGAGGGGCACCATGTTGTGATGGGCTCTCACTCACAGCTGTGCGTGTGTAGGCCAGGCAGGATTCCCTGTGTACAAGTATGTGCCCTATGGTCCCGTGATGGAGGTGCTGCCCTACCTGTCCCGCCGTGCCCTGGAGAACAGCAGCATCATGAAGGGTGCTCAGCGAGAGAGGCAGCTGCTGCGGCAGGAGCTCCACAGGCGGCTGCGCACTGGCAACCTCTTCTACCACCCAGCCTAGTCACTGCAATGGCCATGCCCACACCTACTCCACTCAACCTCTTACCTCTCGGGCAGGGCACAGCTTTGGGTGGGCTGGGGTTCTCTGTGTAGCATTGGCTGTCCTGGAACTCACTCTGTAGACCAGGCTGGCCTCAAACTCACAGAGATCTGCCTGCCTCTGCCTCCCAAGGGCTGGGGTCAAAGGCAGATGTCACCATGCCGGGCGTGAAGCCTGCTTAGTGAATAAATAATTTTGTACGTGAGAGCCACCACGTGCTTTTAGTGCCTGCACATGAGTCAGCTGTGAGCAGCAGAGGGGCTGGCCTGCATGGGGTATTACCTGGAGTTGCCAGAGGCCATTCCAACCCAGGCACTGGGGACACTTCTGCCTGGCTGTAGTGACACCCAGCCACTTAGATCCACATCCCAGACCCACAGGTTTGGATGAGTACAGGCTGCACACAGATGCTAAAGCCCAGCTCTCCTCCAACCCGTCCTGCCCCTCACCCTTCACTCCAGTTACTTAAGCCCTACCTGGGTTTGTGGCAGGGCTCCTGCCTCCTGCTAAGCTCCCCAGTTTCACACAGCAGTTTGGGGTGGGTTCTTAGTGTCTTAACTGGGGGACCTGGTCAGGCAAAGATGATAATGAAAGGCCTAAGGGCTTGGCTGGGATCTCAGAAGGCCACTTGGCTGTCACTTGGTAGCTCCAGCATGGCCAGAGCCATCAGGAAAGAATCCTAGCTAGCATGAACACAAACCATGTGTTGGGGTGTTTATTTTTCTAGGCCACACAGGACTTGGGCTCTGGAGCTTCTATCCAGGGCTGGGGCTGTCAAGGTAGGGGCCATACTAGAACAGGGCAAACCCAAGCCTGGAGGAAATGTGGGTATGCCCAGAAGGTTAGACATTAGAAGCGATAGTCCCACTCAACATTCGTCATGGGGCCTTCTCACAGCACCATTCCTACTGCTTGGACCTCTCCCCCAAATCCGAACAGAGGATGGTGACAGGTGCAGCCAGGGTTTAGTCAGTGTCTCCTCACAAAGATCACACTTGTTGGCAGCTGACAGTCAGTAGTAGCTCCCTGAAGCTTTCTGGCAACAGTGACAGGATGGAGTTGACAGCCATCCTAGGCAATGGAGGACAGCAAAGACCCCACTTGGTCACAGGGCTGCCTTTCCCCCTTGCCAGCCCCTCTGCTGCAGCTTCCTGATGAGCTCCAATAGGTTCATCTGCAGCGTCAGCTCCTGGGATGTAAAAGAGGCCCTGTAAGGGCCAGTCCAACACCCCATGCCCCCTTTTCTTTCTTTCTTTTTTTTTTTTTTTGTTTGTTGTTTTATGAGACATGGTTTCTCTGTATTGTTTTGGAGGCTGTCGGTCCAGCCTGGCCTCAGAGATCCTCCTGCCTCTGCCTCCCGAGTGCTGGGATTAAAGGCGTGCGCCACCACCGCCCGGCGCCTCCTTTTCTTAGCCTAAGACATACAAGAAGATGGCAGGTAGTGAGGCTAAGGGGAAGCTGGCCACGGGCGGGCAGAGGTAGAATCTGGGTACCTAGTCAGGCAGCAGTCTCACTGGTTTTCTTAGAGTGGCTGCGGGGCGGCTAGCATGCGGGAGGTAGGTAGAAGGCTCTGCAGGGCTGGACAGCTGGGCATCACTTCCGTGCCCTCCCAGGGCCTTCCACCTCAACTCTGCATGCTGAACCAGTGTGCTGAGACTCCAGGTGGACTGGTGGACTGGCACTGCCTGTAATTCCTGTGCTTATGGCGAGGCAGGAGGACGTCAAGTTCAAGGCCAGCCTGAGCAGCACAGCAGACCCTGCCTCCAAAAATAAATAAAAAGCAATATACTACCCTCCACCAAAAGAAAACAATCCAAAACAAACACAAAACAAGCTCCAGATAGAATGGGACAGAGCCTTCAGGGGCCAGGGGCACAGGTTGTGGCAGGGCTAGCCTAATGTGCTGACCTGAGGATTCGTGGTCACGTAGAAACCAGCTACCCCTGCCTTCTCCAGTGTGCTCTGCTGGTCAGCAACCTTCCGGTCCAGTTCCAGGACAATCTTGCGATCCATTGCCTGCTGCTCCTCCCGGATTCGATGCTCCAGGGCCTACCATGGCTTGAGTCAGGATGGCTCCTGCTAGGGCTTCTGCCCAAGGATGCCTCAAACACATCCCTCCCTGCTATTTCCTCCTGGCTACCCTGCCCACCCACAGTGGTTCTGGTTCCAGGGCTGTGGCATCCTTGTTTGTGGCTCAGCAAAGGGGCTCCATAAGGCTATACCGAACAGTCCAAGCTGGAAATGCCTGTGAGACCTGTCATTTACTCTCTGGAGCCACCATCCTCACCCCTATCACCGTGGCTTGTGACTTCCCGCGGGCCTCCATCTGACGCTGAGCTCCATGGTATAATGGCCTCTTCCTGACTGTCGTGTTATCTACCACTGCCCTTCGTCACTGTGACTCAGTGACTGCTCCAGTCCACAGAGAGGCTTGTTTGGAGGAACAGGGGAGTGGCAGATGGGCTGTGACTCTCCTCTCAGTCCCCATGGAGAGAAGCCATGAGCTGGACCTCACCAAACCTCCAGCGAGCCACGAGCTCAGCTTCTGAACCATACTCAGTCCCTACTCTCCAGGCCCAGCTATCCCATCCCAGGTCCTACCTCCAGCTCGCGCTGCTGAGTTGCCTGGAGCACTGGCAAGTTGTGGGGCCGGCAGGTTTGCTGGGCTTCCAGATGCTTCTGCCTCAGAGCCTGCCTGAGCACTAGGATGGAACGAGAGCTGTCAGCAAGAGCAGGTGTTGGGAACAGAGGGGCAGCCCAAAGCTACGTTAGAGGCCTAGTCTAAAAAGTCCTTCACCTCCAAGGCGCTAAGAGGACTGTAGGTTAGGCAGGTATGGCAATGATCTCAGTACACACAGTGCAGGGACAGGAGGCAGACGGTGCCTCTGGTGGCAGTTCTAGCTGTGCTATCTTGGACATCGTCCATAGGACATCACCCAAGGACACCTACTGACGCATTAAAGAGCCAAAGGCATGTGAGCATCTAATCAAGCTTGGTGCTACCCTACAGGTAAGCAGAGCAACCCCAGCTCAGCAGCCAGAGGAGGTGAAGGGTATGTACAGTAGGGTTCTGCACTGGGAAGTCTGGTGTTTTACCCTCTACCAGCAAGCAAAGTACCTGGTCCCTGATACTGTGCCACACATATGGACAAACGATCTTCCCTGATGGAACAGGGAGATGGGAGCATGGGAATGATAAGGATTGTGATCGCAAAGTGGAATGCACCACACCAATCAGCACATAAAATGGGAGTGTGACTGGCTGACCCCGAGCAAACTCAATCCCTAATATACTTACTCCTAGAAGAGTCACAGGACAGCTCTATTCAAGAGGGTTCCTGAGGTCTGATAGTCTCTGCAGCGCCTCTAGTTCCCAGCATTCTGTATGTACCCCAATGATACCACTATCACTGCTGTTTGAAAACAGGGACCACCTCAACATAAATCCATCAACACAAAGGCAAGAAAGAGACTGCCTAATTATCTGGTTGCAGTGAACATGAGGTAGACACAAGGCTTGAGGCAACGGGTACATGTATGAATACATCATCTCCTTCAATCCACTTAGCCAACATTGCTAAAAGTCCCAGGTCAACTCCCAGATTTCATTCTGGTTACTTGCTCAGGGATGGCCCATCCCAGTCACCACCTATTGGATCTGACTGAAGGCAGTGGAGGCTCACACTGCCAGGTGCACCAGAGTCTGGTCCAAGCCTTCCGAAGGACGAATGGCAAAAGCTTGAGACATCCCAAATAAAAGGGCTCTATAGAATAATGGTCAGTTCCAGGTCAAGTCAGGGAAGAGCAAGAAAAAGTAGGAGAGGACACCTTTCCTTTCTGATGCAGGAAGGAAAGTACCGAAGAATGGTGGATAGAAGAGAAGAGTCAGGGGAAGCCTGGCTGGTCACACTGAAAGTAACGAGCAAAACAGGGCCTGGCCCAGACCTGCAATCCCAGCACTAGAGAGGCTGAGGCAGGAGGACTACACTGTCTCAGAAAACCAAAAGGGAAAAGGAGAGAAAGGACTGAGTCACGTACTTTAGACTTGTGAACTAGATACAACGTATACTTCTGTCAAAACATTAGAAAAATAGGGCTCAGTCGCTCCAACATTTGGTAAAGAAATAAAACTTATTGGAAAACTGAAGAGACTTCTCATCACATTCTGAAGCCAGCATTACCTTCATACCCACAAAACTATTTTAAGAAAATCACAAGGCTGTTGTCTATCAGGAAGAAAGGCAAAGCCCCTATGGTTTTCATGAATCAAATCCAACAGACAAGGATGGGAGGGGACTCAGGAAAATGTGTATGGATCCTGAGCACCCAGGTCAAAGCTGGGCACAGCAACTGTTCTGTCGCTCAGAACTGGGGAGGTAGAGACAGGTTGATTGACTCCTACAGTTCACTGGCCAGTCACGTGATCAAATCCGCGAGCTCCAGGTTTGGTGTCTCGCAAACTAAAATTCGGAGCAGCAGAGAAAGATATTCAGGGCTGTGCTGGCTGGGTTTTATGTCAACCTGGCACGAGCTAAAGCCATCTGAGAGGAGGAAGCCTTGATTAAAAAATGTCTCCATAAGACTGAGCTGTAGGCAAGCATGTAGAGCATTTTCTTAATTAGGGATGGGGGAGGACCAAGCCCATTGAAGGCCGTGCCACTCCTAGTGCCACCAGAACTTGGTTGTCCTGGGTTCTGTAAGAAAGCAGGCTGAGCAAGCCATGAGGAGCAAACCAGTAAGCAGCTCCCTTCATGGTCTCTGTGTCAGTTCCTGCCTCCAGGATCCTGCCCTGTTTGAGTTCCTGCCCTGACTTCCTTCCATGATGAACAGTGATGTAAGACAAATAAACCCTTTCCTCAAGTTGCTTTGGTACTGGTGTTTCATCACAGCAATAGTAACCATAACTAGGACACCATGCCTACCTCTGGCAACCACACGCATGGCCACACAGGTGCACACATACATGTGTACACGCACCGCATGAACACGACATGTAAACACACAATTAAAAAACAACATACAGCCGGGCGGTGGTGGCGCACGCCTTTAATCCCAGCACTCGGGAGGCAGAGGCAGGCGGATCTTTGTGCGTTCGAGGCCAGGCTGGACCGATAGCCTCTGAAACAATATATAGAAACCCTGTCTCGTAAAAACCAAAAAAAAAAAAAAAAACAACATACATAAAAAAACAATACATCATGACCA